CCTCCTCCTCCTCCTCCTCCTCCTCCTAGCTCCTCCTAGCTCCTCCTCCTCCTCCTAGCTCCTAGCTTTTCTGTCCGGGGTGGCCAGCACAGCTGGCACAGCACTGCTCACACCGCACTGCTCACGCCGCGCAGCTTGCGCAGCAGAAACCACGCCGCAGAACTCACGACACATGGCTGGCAGGACATATACGTTGCTCATACCAGGTTGCTAGCGCAACGTAGCGTACATCAACTAGCTCACACCACATAGCTTAAACCACATAGCAGACAGAACATACTCCACATAGCTTCCACCTCCAGTGCAATAATTCACTGTCTGAGGCTCACGCTGGCTAACTGCTTGTTCCAAGCTGTTTCACCACAGGCCTTATCGCATCGACGCGCGCAACTCACACTTAATGTCCCGCCCGCCCGCACACATCCGTGTCCCGCCCGTCATGCTCGTCGTTGTCATCATCGCTTTTCTTGGTTTCTCCCAGTGTCCTGAGCATGGGGGGCGACTGAGCATATACAACAAGAAAGACCATACGCACCAATGACAACATGCAGGAGTATTGGCTCGGGGACAGCGCCAGGCGCGTCTGTCTTCTCAATCCTTGGGCGCTCCGACGATACCCGCGGCAGAAGAAGCAAACGTCGACGGATTCCCAAACCTGGACATGCGATGTCTTGATTTTTCAAGACGGGGTCCCCAGAAGTTCCCGACCCTTTCCCCAGGGCCATTGTTCATTCCAAATAATGTGTTGATTGTCCAGGGGTCCGGCGAGGGCCCCCAAGGCCGAAAACTGCAACAACGAAAAATGACCGTCGCTATTTTTTCACGACGCGAGAATGTCTGGGCAGGTGCTACCAGGACTCCTGCGCCTCATGGCCAGGCGCCCTCCGTGGGGTGCGCGAGAGGCAGCGCTGGGGTGCCCGCATCGGCAAACTGCGCTGGACACGCCACGCAATCGAGAAACGTCGCCCGCGACGACCGCGGCTGCGACGCATAGACCTGGACTGAGCTGTGTGCTGCTTCGACCGACCCCTCCCCGAGAACGCGAGGCGGGAAACCCGGGGAGCACCGGCACACTCTGGGCCTGGCGGCCGCGGTGTGCGGTCGTCGTTCGTCGAAGGAGGAGGAGGAGGGGGAGGAGGAGGAGGAGCAGGAGCAGGAGGAGGAGGAGGAGGAGGAGGAGGAGGAGGAGGGCACGAGAGGCGGGACACCCCGAGGGCGCTGGCACACTCTGGGACCCGCGGCCGCGGCACGCGGGGCGGGCCGTGCGGGTCAGGAACTCTCCTCTTGGAGCCTGGCCGCCCCAACTTGTTGGGTGGGGGAGCACGTGCTCCCCGACCTGCCCTGAGCACCCTGAGGAGGTCGGGAGGCGGAAGAGATGAGACGGCCGGATGCTGCCCGGGAGGTGGCCCCGGCCAGAGGTGGCCCGGCCCCCCCGGGGGCTGCCCAGGTGGCCTCCACCATGGCACGCCTCTCGAGGCCCAGGGGGGCACCAGGAGCTCCAGAGTGGCGCAAAGAGCTGCGTTCTGCGGCATTGTTCGAGACAGATCGAACTGTGATGGCCCTGAGGCCCGAAACTGGGCGGAAACGCCCAGTGCAAAAAAATGCTGCGCCCGACCTCAAGGAGGGAGCGCGAGCTCGATGCAAGTGCTGGGGACCTTCCTGGAACCACTGGCTACACTCATGCGCCAATGCTATGTTGAACGTCCGTCGACATGAGTCGAATCCGAGTCGAGCTTACGTCGAGCTGAAGTCGAATTTGAGTCGAACTTGAGTCTGGCAACGCTGGAATCCATCGGCGGCGCTCACGGGAGGGTTGGGGGAGAGGGAAAGGCTTCTCAGCAGCAGACTGCTCCTTAGAAGGCGTGGGCCTCGTCTGCAGACGTAGGGCTGGCGCCTTCTCAGAAGTAGCATCCTTCCAAGAAGCAAATCTCGGCGGCGAGCCTGGGGGGGGAAGTGAGAAGGGGCGGACCTTCTCAGAAGGCTCGGAAGTCTCCCCGGCCTTCTGATAAGTTCTGTGAGCCTTCCCCGAAGACGCACCAAAAAAACCTCGGAAGGAGCGAGGGCTTCTGAGGAGCCTCGCCGCCTTCTGAGAAGGCCTTCTCCTTCTCACTTCCCCCACTCGTTCGCCACCGAAAAACAGGTCGGCGACTACAAGGGGTGCGGTTTGCCTCCCGTCATATCTGCCCTCCGCCCCCGGGAAACGGGTGACACTGTCACTCAATGCGACCGAATCACATGACACTGTCGCTGCTTCTAGCACAGTGGAGCACTCATCGAGGATGGCAGGCCGCCACGAAGCAGTTCGCGAGCCACACCCTGGCGCGACCGCACCGACTGTCGTCGCCGAGCATCGGCGGTGGACAAACCTCCCTTTAGTAAACCTCCCCTTAGTGAAAACGGCCTGGGACCTAAACCGACGGACCTGGACCCGCAAAAATAACGGCCGCGACGCCCTCTCGCGAACCGAAAACGGCCAATTCCTCAATCGACGTGTCAGGGTAGGAGGTCTGTCCAACCCCGAGAGCAGGGGCCCGGGAGCGCTTCGCCTCGGGCGGCAGGATGTCCACCACCGCGTGCGAGTGACGGTGCAGCGCCACCGAGCTGCTGGGCTTGAGCAGCTCGCCTCGGCGCGGCGGGGTGGAGGTGGAGGTGGAGGTGGTTGAGGGGAGGAGGAGGAGGAGGAGGAGGAGGAGGAGGAGGAGGAGGAGGGGACGGGGAAGGAGGAGGAGGGGGAGGGGGAGGAGGAGGAGGAGGAGGAGGAGGAGGAGGAGGAGGAGGAGGAGGAGGAGGAGGAGGAGGGGCGCAGACCGCTGTGCCCCCTGCAAGGCACGAGTGCCGAGCAGGGGGTCCGATGTCCAAGAGAGGTCCCACCCTACCCTCGCGGCGGCGCGCGCGCCCGCCTCGCAGAGCACAGTCGTGTAGAAAAAGAAGACGATGTGCGGCGAGGGCGGCGGCGGCGGCGGCGGGGGGGGAGGGCCCAAAAAACTAAACGAGATTAGTCAGAGCCCGAGCTGGATCCGTCTCCAGTCTCGGGCAGAGGGACACTGGCCACATCGATTGGCCGAAGGGCGGTCCGATCATGGGAACGCCTCTGGACCTCGTCCAAGGTCACAACACGAGTACCTTCGCCACTCGCGCCCTCAGCCCCAGGACCACAGGACAAGCGAGAGGAGGAAGGGCCCTCGACGGGGCAGGAGGCGGCAGGGGAGGGAGCACGATTATCGTCGCGTCCTTCCTGCACACAAGAGGCGGGCCTGCCCGCATCCGTGGGGCCAGCGTGGCTATCTCCACGCCTGCACGGCCGACTAGCCGAGGGGGCGGAGAGCTTCGCGCCAGTCTTCGGATGCAGGCCTGCCTCGATCCTCCGAATGGCCATTCGCTGGTTCGCCTTCGTTGAGGCCACGGCCGAAAAACCAACACATCTGGCGGCTAACTTCACATAATTGCCAAGAGTGCCGTTTCCACCGCATTTGCGGCAGCAAAAATAATCATTATTTTTAAACACGTCGTGACCGAGGGCCGAAAATTGAGGGCACCTGTCGGGCCCACTGGGCCCCGAGGGGGGCACAGGAGTCAGCGGGCCCTTCACCCCCATGTCGTCGGGCCCCTCGGTCTGGCTACACAGCTCAGCCTCTCTCTGGGAGGCGTCCATTGCCAGCTGCACGGCCTCGGAACGCATCAGGGCAAACCCCTGGTCGGTCGCATGAGCATTCCACCATTCAGACGCAGCCAGGAGCTGCACGGGGCTGGCTATGCAATCACGCGTGGCCCTCTGTGTGAGCATGGCATTGAGAGAAGTCTGGCTGCGAGCAAATCCGCCACAAACACGGCACCTCCAAATGGCGACCTTCTGGCTGTGCCAGATCTCGCGACTGGCGATCGTCAACTTGGGGGGAAGGGGGAGGCTCGAGGAAACGAGAGGCACCTCAGGATCACCAGACCACGCCTGAGACTGCAACAGCCTTTGAGCAGCCCACGCCAAGAACCTAAGAGTGGACTTGTGATATCTATATTCCCCCGCCAAGGCCTTACAGAATCCATCCGCGTAACTGTGGGACGCCGAGCCGAGCTTCGCGAAAAAGTCAGCCCATAGGTTCCCCGCCCAGTGCTCAAGAGAGACGCCTTTTTCTACAGCATCATCGAGCGAAAGGTGGGCGGGGCACCAAACAAATTGGGGGGGATCGTGCTGCTGGTTCCTGAAAATGTCCGCCCAAATCGACGCATGTTTGGCAAGACCAGCAGCCTGCTCTGGGTCCCACGCGTTGCCTTCACGAACGCTGGCCTGCAGGTCGGATACAATTTTTTCCACCTTAGGCGCAAAGTGCAGAGCCTGACGTATTGACCACCGCTCCGCACGTCCGATGGTCTGGCGCACGCCAGGCAATGCGCCGAAGACGGCACGAACTGGAATTAAATCTTGATTTAATTGGACCGCTGCCCAGCCAGCCCGAGCAACCTCAGGGAGACTTGAGCAACCTCAGGGAGACTTGACTGGAGGCAGCTCCCATCGACGAAACAGGTGGGCCCCCACGGGCCTGAAACGTTCCCCCAGAACTGGACCTGAGGGTGGGCCTCGGGGGGCTCCAAAGCCACAGAGAGCGAGGGGATCCCATAGGTGAGATAAGTGGTTTCGGCCTGCGGGTTCCCCAAGATATCTAGACATGAATTAATTAGGGCATTCCTATGGCTCAGAATCTCCTCAGGGACCTGCTCGCCAAGCCCGTCAACTCCGTCCAATACCAAGCCCGCACAGTCGTACCAGATGTGCCCGTAGGAGCCCTGGGGAGCCTGACACACACGACATTCAGGGCTTATGCGGTAACCCTGGGAAGCACGCACACCTGGAAGAGGAATAACATCAGCCATGACAGCCGAGAGAGCACCAAGTTGCCGCGGACATCGAATCGCTTGAAGACCTCCTCTCAACGCTCTGTGCCAGACCTGCTCGGTGCCCTGGGACGTGGGCATGTGATGAAGCAGCCGACGATGTTGCCACCTCTGAATACCTTCTATCATGTATAGCATGACGTCGTACGGGCAAGTCGTGAGTAAGTTTACCGTGATATTAGTGTCCGAGAGGAACGTGTGGGCGCTGGTCATGGCCCAACCGATACGATGAAGGGAAAGCCAGCAGGCCGACATGGGCCCCTTCGCAATCTGCCACGTCGGGTTGTCGTCGAAGTAATGACGTAGTTGGGCCCAGGCCCTCTGGGCCCTCCCAAGACAAACTCTGCTGTCCCAGATCCAGGCCGCGTAGCGGAGGCATATGGTGAGCGTGCAGTCGAATATGGGATCGTAGTAGGGGTCACGGTGAGCGAGGAGATACGCTGTGACCCCACCATGTTTTTTACCCCCTGCGAGGGTCGAGGCCAACTGTCTGAAATATCGAAGAGAAACGTCGGAAACTCCAGATACACCGCCACCATGCCCAGCAGCTGGTAGGGCTCCCGTTCTGAACAAGAGCGAAGCCTTGCGCCCGACGGCGCTGCGCAGCGCCATGTATTTGCGACGGCGCTGCTTCAGAGACTTGAGGCGTGCCTTCTCCTGGAGCCTCAACACTTTGCCACCAGCTAACTCATGCCCCAGGTTGCGCATCCATGGCCGAAACTGAAGTTTGAGCTGCGCCGCTCCGTGCCGAAACAACCTCTTGGACCTTCCCGAGGCCGCCACGATACCAGACTTCTTGGGCTGGGTGTTCAGCCCTAATACCTGGGCGTCGTACCTGAAGATCCGTACAGCCTTCTCTAGCTGCGGCAAGGTGTCAGGCGTCGTGGCGACCAGCTGCAGCGACACGTCGTCTACTAACGCACGCGGCGTCACACACGGGGCAATCTGGTTGAGGCGCTTGAGCGCCCGAAAAGTCAGCACGAACAGCATACCTGTGGCATGGCTGCATCCAGCTAGGATGCCTTGGAAAACCTCGAGGGACTCGGAAAGGCTTCCGAATGCCTTCAGACGCCGTGGCTGCCTGTACAATTCCACGAGCATCCACACGAGGCGTGGCGGAAAGCTGACAGCCTCTGCCTCCTTGATGAGTTGGGCAGGGTGAATCATTTCGAAGCACTTGATCATATCCAGCAAAACTGAAATAGAGATTTCGCCGAGCAGGGAAGCTAGCTCTGCGGACAGGTTGTGCGCGAAAGCGCTGTCCGTGGAGCTATGCCGCTTCCTGGTGCCCCAGATCTCGAGACAACCATGCAACTCTTGCCAGCTACAAGTAACCGGCTTCCTGAGCTTGCCCCAGACTCGGCAGAGGGTGTTGATTAGGGCGATCAAGCGGACACCCCCATCAGGCTTGGCCAAACGCACCATCTCCGTCCAAACTCGATCGTTGGGCCAAGCTAGCTGGGTCTCGCATCCGTTGAACAAAAACGCTATGCCTTCGTAAGCTCCTTGGCTGAGGTGGAGCAGAGCCCTGGGCGCAATCCGCGAAGGGCCTGCCGCCGTGCTGATCTTAAATTGCTGGATGCAATCCTCAACCTCTAAGGCAGTGATGCAAGGGAGCGAGGGCCAGGCGTGGGCCCCCTCGGGGAGCGGAAGCTTAGAACAGTCGTGGGTCCTCCAGATGTCAGCCCATGGCTGCATCTCTTGATCAGCGAGCTGGAAGGGTTGGGACTTGGAACCAGCAGCAACGACCTCCTGGACCGCTCGCACCTTGCTGAACCTATGGGCCTGAGACGCTCCTCTCTGAAAAGCTTCTCGGGCCCAGGCCAGCCAAGCTGAGCTCGCGGCGGCTTCGGCAGCCCCGATCTTGGCCTTGGCGGTGAGATACACATGCGTAAGACATTCGGCAAAGTCAGCTCTGGCCAGGACGGCAAACCCTGACTGAAAGAACCCAGACGTTCGATCGTCGAGCCTAGCAAGCACCTTTTTGCACGCACCGACTTTGATCATGAAATTGGAAGCCTCGGCCAGCGCACGCAGTAGCTTGACATGCTGGTTGGGAGTAAGCTCGCACATGGCTGCACACTCCTGGAGGCCTGCAACCTCTTTGGTGAGAAACTGCCTACATTTGCCGAGGTGCTTCGCCCAGCACAAAGCTGTGGCCCAAGCCTTGGTGCTGGGGTCCTTGTAGGTGCGATTCTTGGGGGGGGCCCACGCAAGCTTCTTCCACTTCGTCCTGGGCGGGCCCGCTCTCCCCAAGAAGCCAGACGAACAAGCACCGATGCGGTCCCACCTAGAGGACAGCTCGAACTCAATCCCCGAGATGACCAGGTCCCAGAGCCCCGCGAGGTCCCCTTGGGCCAAAAGCTTGGGGCCCGCAACATCGAGCACGGCCTTCCAAGGGTACACAGGGGGCCTCGCGCACCCAATGGGGGGCACCGCAGGGAAAGGCTTGGGCTCATCGGGGACCCTGGCCCACATCGGGGTATCAGACGAGGCGAAGCCTATGGAGACGGGAAGGTGAGGATAAGTAGAGGCCTCCTCATCAACATGAACCTGCTTGTGCAAACGAGTCGCTAGCATGCTGCTAGCAACGAAGAAATCAATAAAAGAGCCAGGCTGTGAGTGCCTGCAGCTGGGCAGGGCAGAGACATATGCGAGGGCACTCACCGCCTCCAGCCAGCCCGACTGGTTGAGCTCGTCGATCTCCATGTTCCAGTCCGCGCAGATGACCCAGGG